CTATGAGTTTTTAACTTTACATTGCTCATATCGTCTAATTTGTTGCCCTAAACAGTGTGTTAAAAATTTGAACACTGCACAGGAACTATTAAACGATTTTGTGGAAAATTTTTCAATTATATTTGGAGAAAATAGCGTTTCGTATAATGTGCATAACTTACTGCATCTCAAATCATCTATCGAGCAGGTTGGCGATCCTATAAAGGGTTCATCATATGCATTTGAAATCTACTTACAAAAACTAAAGAACTACGTTAAAAAACCAACACAAATTTTGGAACAAATACATAAAAATGTCTTAAGGGAAACAATAATAAATCCAAATCCAACTAGCTACTGGAGACATGTCGATAAGGAATATATTTTTCAAGGGAGTTTAATTACGTTTAAATTTCCAAACAACTACTGCTACGTAAAAAATAATATCCCTATAGAAATTAAATCTTTTATACATAATAAAAATGGATCCTTTATTGCACGAAGGTTTAAAAATATTCGAAATTTCTACGATCTTCCATGCGAATCAATATCATGTGGAATTTTTTTAGTTGATAAGGACGTTTCAGAAGAGGAAGAAATATTTAGTGTAACTGATATTTAATGCAAAACAATAGCTCTTCCATACAAAACAGATTTGGTATTGATGCCACTTTTACACACTTATGTTTAATTATCATTTGTTACTCCTTTCAATTGTTGCCAATTTAGTTTAAATTTCAACATTTTTTTATTTGAAAATAAATCAAGAATAAATAAACATCATGTCAGAATCTGGAAACCCACCAACAAAACACAAACGTTTAACAGCAAAAATTTATAAAAAAGGTAAGTTCTTTTTAAATATTACAACTATTACTAAATATTTCCAACTAATGACATTTTTATGACAAATGCATACAAATATCATATCATAATGGCTTATTTTTCAGAACACCACAACCAGGGATGGAAAATGAGATTTTGTTTCAGTATCAAAAAATATTTCTGAGGGTACTTTTTTGGATCTCAGAGTACTAAAATAATTTTTTTGCTGAAAGTTGGTAATTTCTTAAATGCATTTACATATATTTAGGCATTTTTAAACAATAAACAAAGGAAATAGAAAGGGCATTATATGTTGATATGATGAATATTTGTCTATCCCTCAATGTTAACCTTTTAGATATGATTTGATGAAATTTCTTGTCCAGGAAATGGGTACATGGTATCAAATAGATCCAATAAAAATATCATCCCGATATTGTACTTTGTAAATATTTAATATTTAAATTTAATGCAGTCATTTTGTTATATTATAATAAATCCGTTGTTATATTTTAATAAATATGGCCTTAATGAAATTCAGGCCACATTTAACCCTACACAAGAATAAATTTAGAAATTCAACTTAACGCTAATAATTGAGCTACAAGTATTAGTAACGATAGTTTATTGTCAATAAATCTCTTATTTATGTGTTATTAAATTAAAATATGTAGATGTTAATTTTTTTAAAAATCGATTGCCATATCAAATTCTACACATTGCGCTCCATGACATGAGACCTTACATAGGATATTTCCTAGTACATCCGAATATGGCAACAAACAATAATTTGCTTTAAAGTCCAAATATTTTTGACCAAATATTTCTTATATTATCTTTGATTGAATGCTTAATTTCAAAACATATCGTTTTATATTAAGGCCCAAATAGACTACACAAGCGGCTTGACAAACATACCAATATTTTACGTTTGTGCAAGCCTGTTCTGTAGTGTATGAGAGTGTTTCGTGTTTGTACAAATGCTTGCTGTTTGTTTGTATTAAAATTAAAAAAAATTGATTTTTACACAAACATATTGAATTTTTTTCAAACCGTTTGTATTGTTTATATTCATTAATAACAAATTTTTCACAATAATTTATATTTCTAAGAAAAATTGTCATATGTATCCTTGCAAGTCCACAAAAACGTGAAAAAATCGGTGTTTGTACGAGCAATGTTTGTGTAGTGTGTGTGCGAATGAAAGAATAAACGAGAAGTGAAACGCTGTCATTTTTTTACAACAATAACATTACGCTCTTCTCACAGACAAGTGCTGTGTAAATCCAACACATATGGGCATTTCCATCGTGACGAACGTGACGGTCGTACGTTTTAAAGAGATGAAAAATATATATATACATATATATTTGTTAAAAATTCTTGTATTTTTATATAGGGCTTCAATAGCTCTATAACTTATCGGAAGAAGAAATTGAAAGATCTTAATGGCCCTAAAATATAAGTAGTTAAAGTGCGTGACGTGATGTGACAGAAATAGAAGTTGCTTATTTCTTTTTTGACAAAAATGTAAAAATCTGCGAGTTTCACCTGGCTATTTGGTTAAAACCTTTTTTATTGTAATTCGGAATATTTATTGATTGTTTTTCAGCTTTTAGAACTAAAAAATTGTTTTCAGATTTTTTTTGTACAAGCCGTTATGTGTGACGTGACATGACGTGATGTGACAAACATTTTCAATTATGAAATTTGCAATATTATTGAAAATTAATTAGTCCATAGATTTATTTTGGACGGACATTGTTGAAAGTTTTTGAAATCGGAGAAATATTTCGACTATTTAATAACATTTTAGTTGAAAATAGCTCCCGTATAAGAATAATATAAGAATTAACATTAATTAACATAAAACTTTTAAAAATGCTTATATCACCATAAAATTCAACACAAATAATTTTGACATAACAAAAATCGTTCATCCTAATATTTTTAAAAATTGGTCAATGATTAGGCATAGCTTCCATACAAAGCCCACATTTGATATACCCATAAACTTGGATATATAACTAAAATTTCGCCATCCTGATAATACAAACACACAAAAAACTTTCAAATGTACAACTACTGACCCTTCTGATGATAATAAAAACCGATGATAATAAAAACCGAAAATCACTTTTTTTCCATACATTTCTTAAAAATATCATTTGTTGAATTTATGTGCTTTTTCTTCCACTTATCAACTAAAAAATCATACTTATCACCTAATTGAATAAATTGCATAAATATCACATCTTTTTAAATAACAATATTTCACAATTCAAAGGTTGCACTTGAGAAAATGTATGTAATGTGACGTGACAGACTTTGAAATTCTATAAAAAATAACCCCGCTTAGAATTATTTTTTTTTCTTTTAAATTGAGTTCTATATACTAAACTTGATTTAGATTCAAAGTTTTGAATACTTCTGAATGCCAACTAAAAAGTTATCGGGATAAATCCTGTTTCAACGTGACGAACGTGACATTTAAAAGTCTATGAAAGAAAACCGAAAATTTGCCTTTTAAGGATCTTTATCTTTTTATATTTGTATGTTTTAAGATAACTATTATTCCAACAAATATTTTCCGATAAAAGTCCATCTAAATATTAGCCTTTAAAATAATAAAAACTATTAAAAGCAAATGCTACTAAAGGTGCAAAAATATGCCTGAAATATTATTGTAACTTTTAATTCCGATTTCTCATCATAGTGGTTAAGAAAAGCTTTGGGGTCTTTAATTTAATAAAATTTGAATCTTTTTCTATAATAATAGAAGTTGAAATTTTATTTTTGATGACTTTTAGTTTTTGAGCCACGGTGGACTTTTCGGTGGAAATGCCCATATGTAAAAATTTTATTCTCTCTCCAAACTTCAAAACTTTTTCGCGAAAATTTGAGGATAATAGCACTTTGAAATATTTTTTATCACTTAACATTATATTTTATAATTTTTTTGCACAATTTAAACACATTTAATAGCCCGAAAATAATATATTTTTTACAAACGAAAAAAAATATTTTTTATTTTTTGACATTGAATTTTTGTTGGTTGAAATTAAAACTAAAAAAAAACAATGTTGTAAATTTTCGTATGGTAAACGAAAAACATATTTCAAATAAATAATTTATTTTTTCAATATTATAGATTAAAAAACAAATAGACGTGTTTATATAATGTTTGTAGATAAAATATGTGGAAAATATCTTAAGAAACCTTTCAAAGTATAAATTGAAATGTAATATTTTTTTTCAATATTTTTCAATACGGTTTTTTGCAACTATGTTGACTTGAGAATTCTACAAATACATTCTTAGAGTTAGGTACCGGATGACAGTAGACTTAGGTACTTTTGACAACAGTTTCATTTCTTATTTATTCTTTGATTGAAACCTTCGAGTTTCTGTCATTTGGAAATAATGAGTTTTAAAGTCAAACATTTTGTCAATATTGAAATTTTTTTCATAAAATATTAACAATGGAATTTTAATTAGATTAATATTCTTATAATGCCAATCAAGGAAAAAATTCTAAATTCCATTTCGAAATGTGCTGCATTAGTGATTTGCAAACATACTTCTAAATAAGTGGCTTCTAAAATTTGATTTCTTTAATTCTGGTAATAGTGAAAATAATTCCATTACTCTATAATTTTATTCGCCGTTTTTTTTCTAGAACTTTTAGTTGATGCGTTTTTGATAATTTTATGTAGATATGTGCTAAAACATTCTAGGAATTTCAAATTTGAATAATAATTTGAAATTTTAAAGATGATTTGAGAGTATCAAATAAGACTAGGGAGTATAACGGTATTTTTGAACATCAAAAAGTACCAAAAAAAGTACCATCGTACCAATTTTGCCATCCCTGACCACAACTGTACTTGCAACTCTACTCTATCATTGGAGAAGAATCTGGATGATGTTAAAGGTAACTTTAAAAGTAGAAATAAAATATTTTATCGGTAATATTTAACTTATAATTTCAGAATTTGTTGGTCAAGAACTAAAGAGTCTAAAAGAAAATATTGGTCAACAAATTAACGGGCTTCAGTCGCAGCTTAAAATTGTTATAGATACTCTGGCAGAAGAAAAAGTAATAATTGGAAGACTTTTGTCACAACAGACAGAAACCCAAGCATTACATATGTAATTTCCTGTGAAAGATGAAAGGGAATTAGTAAGGCTAAATAATGAAATTAATAGCATCAACAAAAGATCATATGTAAGTAGCATTTAAATACAGATTTTAATGCAATAATTAATTATTAATTTAAATTTTCTGATTAGAGTCATATCAGCGTTGCTTAATCCAGCAGGTGTAGTCAAGCATTTAAAATATATATTGAGCACTGAAGTTGTGCTAGAATATAATATTGATGGGGTACATGGCAAACGGAGTTTAAAAGATTTAGATAAATTCTATGATGTTCTTTTAGGTAATTTAAATTTTTATTTAAATATTTTACTTCATTATAGAATTTTTAATTATTATTTCATTGCAGAATCAATTTATAACACAAATTTAGAACCAGCCGAAATTCAGCTAAGAAAAGCACTACAGCTGCAAAAAAAACGTCACTTTAAAATGGTTTCATTAAATAAACAGGTCCACCGTTAGTTTTTAAATTTTCATTTTATAATTAAATAACAATGAATTAAAGCAATGAATTAAAATTTATTTATAAATTAGTTCATAATATTATAAAGTAAAAAAATCTATTAATATTCGTTTTAATTTATATTAGTATATAAGAATTTTTTTTATAAAAATAATGTTTAAAATGATTATTTAAAAAAAATGTAAAAAACTAATATGAAACAAGTTAGAGTGCTATATTCGGCTATGCCGAATCTTAAATACCCTCCACCAGCTACTTTTTATTGAAACCCATCTAACTATCTAATTTTTAGATAACTTGCCAAAATTTTTGTCGAACTAATTTTGATTAGGTCCAAAAAAATGTATATTCGAAAATATTTTAATAGAATGATGTAGCTATACACAGAATATGGGAGTTGTGACCAATTATGGACTGATCAGGAAACAATTTAGTATATAGATTTTTATGCAGAAAAAGATCAAGTCTAATTCTACTTCAATAGCTTTATTAATCAATGAAATATGTGAGTTTAGGTGACTTTAGAAAGTGGACTTTATATAGGAGCTATGAGCAATTAAGGGCCTATCCGGAAAAATTTCGCAGAGTGATTTATGTAAAGCAAAACATATTTGTGTCGAATTTTCTCAAATTAACTTTATTTGACAATAAAATATGTGTGCTTAAGTGACTCTCAGAAGTGGACCTTATATGGAAGCTATGACCAATAATGGACCGATCCGAGAAAAAGTGGTAGAATGATTCATATGTACACAAAACTTATTCAAGTCGAATTTTACCCCTATAGCTTTAGAATTCAATGAAATATATGCGTATAAGTGATTTTCGGAAGTGGACCTTATAAGGGAACTATGACCAATTATGGGCCTATTCTGGAAACATTTCGCAGAGTGATTCATATTTGGACAAAACATGTTTGTGTCGAATTTTATCAAGATAGCTTTAGTTGATAATGAAATATGTGCTTTTAAGTGATTTTCGTAAGTGGACCTTATATGGGAGTTAGGACCAATAATGGACCGACCCGTAAAAAATTTATAAAATGATTTGTACGTACACAAAACATATTCAAGTCGAATATTATCCCAATAGCTTTAGAATTCAATGAAATATATCCGTTTAAGTGATTTTCGGTAGTGGACCTTATATGGGAGCTATGACCAATTATGGGCCTATCCGGAAAAAAAATCGTAGAATGATTAATGTTTAGGTAAAACATATTTGTCTCGAATTTTATCAATATAGCTTTACTTGGCATTGAAATATGTGCTTTTAAGTGATTTTCGGAAGTGGGCCTTATATGGGATCTATGACCAATAAGGGACCGATCCGTAAAAAATTTTGTAGAATGATTTGTATGTATACAAAACAGATTTGTGTCGAATTTTATCCCGATAGCTTCATAATTCAATGAAATATATGCGTTTAAGTGATTTTCGGAAGTGGACCTTATATGGGAGCTATGACCAATTATGGACCTATCCGGAAAAAATTTCGTAGAGTGATTTATATTTCGACTAAACATATTTGTGTCGAAATAGCTGTAGATGACAATGAAATATGAGCTTTTAAATGATTTTCGGAAGAGGGCCTTATATGGGAGCTATGACCAATAATGGACCGTTCCGTAAAGAATTTGGTGGAATGATTTGTATGTACACAAAACATATCCAACTCGAATTTTATCACAATAGCTTTATTCATCAATGAAATATGTGCGTTTAGGTGATTTTCGGAAGTGGACCTTATATGGGAGCTATGACCAATTGTGGACCGACTGAGATCTACGTTGACAGTATAATTTCTGTTCATATTATATTTACATGTACAAAATTTCGTGTTGATACCGATATATTTGAGGGAGTTATTAACGATAAACTAATTTCCGGGAATATATAACTTTGTATGGGGGCTATGGGAAATATTGGATCGATTGTAAAGATTTTTAATATAATTGATCACTACCTTGAAAAAATAATGTATGACAAAATTCATCAAAATATCTTTGGTAGTTTCTGAGAAAACTTCAAAAGAATTATGAAAAAAACGTAATTTTTTTCGAGGTAGTCTGAAACTTTTACTCATAACTTTTTACGATGTGAACCGATTTTGCTCATTTTCAATACCAAACTGCTTAGGATAATAATAAATATTTTGGATGAATTTGGTTTATTTCCTTTGCTTAGTTTTAACGTGAGCGTGTTTTACACAGACAGACAGACAGACGGACAGACGGACATAGCTAAATCGACTCAGAATTTGATAAGGACCCAGAATATATATACTTTGTTGGGTCTTAGATGAATATTTCTTGGTGTTACACACGGAACGACAAACTTATATATACCCTCTATCACCACTGATGGTGGTGGAGGGTATAAAAATAAATCAGTTGTATTAAAAATATATAAGTATTAGTTTTTTTTTGTTCAAATAGTCATAATTAACATAGATATGAGAACTAACAACTTTTAATAGTTTAATTTGAGTAGTTTAAACAATGTTTACATTTCGCCAGCCAAAACAATAACTCTATGCTTACACTATGTAGAAATTATAAATTTTTCATACTATTTTTATTATATGTTCAATACGAAATAATAAAAAAGCTACCACTTCAATATTTACATGTAATGCAAAATGTAGCCGTTTGTACTTTTACGCATACATAAATTACAACAAAAGGGAACATTATATTCTTAACAACAAATAGACATATGAATATAACTGCTGTGGCCTAATGGTTAGCGTGTGTGACTACAAAACGTGAGGTTGTGAGATCGAGCCCGGGTTCCTCCATCAGAAAATATTAATATGAAAACAATTTAAAATAAAAATAATTAATTTACATGGACTTAATTCAAATAAAAAATTAAAAAAGAATTAAAAAATTCAAAAAATAGAATAAAAAAATAAAAATATAACAAAATATAAAAAAATAAAAAAATTTTTTTAAATATATATGTATTTTTTATGGAGAATTGGTACTATTGAATTTACTAGTGAATTGTGATGGAGAAAAGTTTAGCTACATATTATATTCCAAATTACTGCTTCACTACACATTATTTTAATATTTACTAGTGAATTGTTTTGCAGAAAGTAACAGTTGGTTTTGAACAATACAATATTTAGCTTCAGTGCGCTTTGGATATTACTAGTGACATGTAATGCATAAGGTGTCAATCGGCCACCCGCAATGACATCCCCATGTTAAATTCAACAGTAAATAACATTGCTGGTGGGTTGAAAATTCACTAGTTGTAGTTCTTAGTGGCTGTTGATATCGCCGATGTCGAACTAGTTCGTCGTACTGCAGGGATACTTGTTTTGCTATACTTTTGCCAAACAAATAAAATAGATAATGATGGTTGTACAACAAATAACTTATTGTATGCAGCAGGCGCATAAAAACAAAGTTGTTTAGAAACATTTTTTTATTATTTTAAAATGTATATTCGGTATCTCGTGATCTATAGGAGATATCGTAGCAAAATTTAATATAGTTAGAGCTGAGGTGTTTGCGTATATACTTACAATCTGTAGTCTCCGTAGGTCCAATGGAGTCCAGTGGTAAGGCCCTTTAAATTGGTCACCTCGACTCAATTTTTTTTAAAATCAATAAAAATGCATTTATGATCCGAATTAAAAAAAAAAACATTTTAATGGAAAAATTCAAAACAAAACTTTTGAAAGGGTCCTTAGTTTCCTAATTGAAAATCCTGATCTCAGTACAATTTGCCAAAAAATAAGTTTTTAAATTTTGTCGAAATTCATCTCAAATATTCACTAAATTGTAAAATTTGTAAGAATATTTTTGGTCCACAAAAAGACTTTTATTTAGCGCATTACAAAGGACACAAAAATTTTGAATTTTTTCGAAATATGTAAAAATTATCGTAATTTTAAGAAAAGTTTACAAAAATATTTAGCGTTTTATTTAATGACTTTTTTAATTTATGTAGGAATTCTGAAGCACTAAAAGTAATTCTGTGGAATAAAAGTACTTCAAACAATTTTATGATTAATTTTTCTTAAAAATTTAGGAAACTTTTTTTATAATTTGTACTCAGATCATTATTTTCAATAGGTGGGAAAATTATTTTTTATTTTTTTTTTCGAGTTTACTACGACAATACACATCATTTGAGACTTGTGCCCACTTTAAATCACAAAAAGCTGTTTCTCATTACACTTTCCTTAAGGTCAGATATTAGGTTAGACTTTTTTTGAGATTTTTTGAGAGACTTTTTTCAAAATTAAAAAAAATTTTCTTTTAAATGTTGTATTTTAATTTTTTATCAAATAAATGATAATAAGGAATATCTATATACTTTCTTTTCATTAATTATTGATTTTATGTTAATTAAAAAATATAACTCTAGAGACCACCTAAGAATATTTATGTAAAATTTAATTTCAATATCCTTAATAGTTCACTAGAATTATTTTCATAAAATGTTGAATTACTATCAGAAAATATCACAGAAAAAACTGATTTTAAAAAAATTCAGTTAAACGATTAATCGAAAATTTTAAAATGGTTCAATTCATTTTGTATTTGAATCATAAAAATGTATAATCAAATACGTATTTAACAACAACAAAATTAAAACAAATAAAAATCTTGTGTATGAAATCAATCAAAAATGAAACTTCAATAAATAAAATAATTGAAAACGAAGTTTTGGTAATAGAAATCGTTTTTCAGTTTAAATAAATATTAAATAAAAAAACTGAAAACTGAACTAGAACTAACTAGAACTGAACAAGAACTGAACTAGAACTGAACTAGAACTGAACTAGAATATTAAATAAAAATATAAATAAATAAAAAATTAAAAATAAATATAAAAATATTCACTAAATTATTATTCATTTATCACATATTTTTCTTTTGTTTTGAAATAATCTTATTTAATATAAATAAACATACTGCATCAATATCGATTCTTTGTATTACTATAAGTAACATCAAATAGTCAAAAATATTT